AGAGTCAGAGTCTTGCTCTGTCACCCAGGCTGGAGTGCAATGGCACCATCTCAGCTCACTGCAGCAACCTCCACCTCCTGGGTTCAGGCGATTCTCCTGCCTCAGCTTCCCAAGTAGCTATAGGCGAGTACCACCACGCCCAGATAATTTTTGTATTTTTAGTAGAGATGGGGTTTTTCTATATGTTAGCCAGGCTGGTCTCGAAATCCTGACCTCAGGTGATCCACCTGCCTTGGCCTCCCAGAGTGCTGGGATTACAGGCCTGAGCCATGGCACCCGGCCTCGGATCTCTAACACTTTCTAGGGCTGACTTCATGCCAGGTCCATTCCAAGGACTTGGATAGATGACCTCATTTACTTTTTTGTTCTATATTCACAACCAGTCTATAAGTAGGGGTTGTTATTACCCATTTCACAGATTAGGAAACTGAGGCACAGAGAGGTGAGGTGACCTCAAGCAAGGTCACACAGCCAGGAGGTGGCAGGGCTGCCAGGTACACCCAGAGAGTCAGGCTCCAGCATGCAGTTCTCCACCCCAGAGGCAAACTGCCTAGGCAGAGGTGAGTTGCCAGCGGTGCAGTGGTGTGGGAGCCTGGGGGACTCCCTGGCTCCCCTGGAATCGCTCACACACAGAGCCCTGAGGCCCAGAAGGATTTAATTAAGGCTCAGAGGCTGATTAGCTACTGATAATTAAGGCTTTGTATTTTCTGCTCTTGGTTTTCCTAATGAAGCAGATGGTGACCTGGGGAGGGAGGGTGAGCCCCGCTGTGTGCCCAGCTCCTGCACCAGGCACAGTCTCTAGAGAGGGACTTCCCGACCGTTTCCAGAGGCCTAGGGCCTGGACCGCTCTAACACCTGATACCCAGTAGGTCCTGGGGACAGGGAGAGAACCATGCAATATTTGGGACAGAGTTATACTAAAAAATTCCTCGTTATTTATCTGAAAGTCAAGTTTCACTGGATGTAGTGGTTTTTCATTTATTTGTTTTGTTTTTGTTTTTGTTTTTGTTTTTTTTTTGAGATGGAGTCTCACTCTGTCGCCAGGCTGGAGTGCAGTGGGGCAATCTCGGCTCACTGCAACCTCCGCCTCTTGGGTTCAAGGGATTCTCCTGCCTCGGCCTCTCGAGTAACTCTGGGACTACAGGTGCACGCCACCACACCCAGCTAATTTTTGTATTTTTAGTAGAGATGGGGTTTCACCATGTTGGCCAGGATTATCTCGATCTCTTGACCTTGTGATCTGCCCTCCTCAGCCTCCCAAAGTGCTGGGATTACAGGCGTGAGCCACTGCGCCTGGCCCTATTTATTTGTTTTCTAAATCTGGCAACCCGAATCAGTGTCCTTCCAAATCTGGAACTGAGGCTGGTACGGAGTTCCCTGTTGTGCCAGGTGTCAACTCTTCAGTCACAGGCTAGTGGAGGTGTCTGGAGAGAGAGGGTGCCCAAGGCGGGGAAGGGTTCTGGGGCTCAGGCAGCAGCATCCATCACCCAGCCCACAGTATTCCAGCAATTTTTTTTTTTTTTTTTTTTTTTTTTTTTTTTTTTTTTTTTTTTTTTTTTTTTTTTTTTTGAGATGAAGTCTAGCCCAGGCTAGAGTGCAGCGGCGCGATCTCAGCTCACTGCAACCTCCGCCTCCCCGGTTCAAGCGATTCTCCTGCCTCAGCCTCCCAAGTTGCTGGGATTACAGGCGCACACCAACACACCTGGCTAATTTTTGTATTTTTAGTAGAGGCAGGGTTTCACCATATTGTTCAGACTGGTCTCAAACTCCTGACCTCAGATGATCCACCCACCTCAGCCACCCAAAGTGCTCAGACTACAGGCTTGAGCCACCGCACTTGGCCACTCCAGCATTTTAACAGCCTCCACACCTACGTGGTGACACCAGGTGACTGGGAGCCCTGCTGCAGAGTTACACAGCCTCAGCTCACCTGGGCGCTCCCTGAGTGACCAGGACAAGCCATGGCTCCTGGGGGACAGAGGCCTCACTATGTACCGTCTCTGTGCCACAACTGCATAAGCTCAGTCCTCATTTCACAGAGGAAGAGACTGAGGGTCAAAGAGAGGAAGCCACCAGCCCAAACCCACAGACATGGAGCCAAACCTAAAACTCAGAACCCCTCTTACCTCTCTAGCACATCCTCACCTCCGGGACCAGCCCCACCCTGGGACCAGTGGGCCAAGGGGCAAAGGAGGAAGAGAGGGACCCACCGTGCGGTTGTGGGGCTGCGGCTCCGATGCGTGGATGGGCCGGTTCAGGCTGGGCCTTCCCACGTAGACGTCTCGGGCCAGCGGGAAGGCTCTCAGCAGCTGCAGCAGTGCCCTTGGGTTCACGTAATTGTCATCATCCACGTGGCAGAACCACCTGTTAGGGATGAAACGGGGACAGTGAACTTGTTGGTTGGGGGGGGTTCCAAGCCAGGGTCCCCAAGCACCCCTACAGTCGGCCAACAGTGACAGAGTTCAGGGTAGGGGTGGGGGAGGCTGGCATTTAAGGCATCTGTTTGGTGCCAAGTTGCATATTGTATAAGATTTTGAGGATGGTGTCCATTTCACAGATGAGGGCCAACACTGAGAGGCTAAGGCACTGGCCCTGGCCGGGCGCAGTGGCTCACACCTGTAATCCCAGCACTTTGGGCGGCTGAGGCCGCTGAATCACCTGAGGTCAGGAGTTCGAGACCAGCCTGGCCAACATGGTGAATCTCTGTCTCTACCAAAATTGCAAAACTTAGCCAGGCATGGTGGGGTACGCCTATAATCCCAGCTACTCGGAAGGCTGAGGCAGGAGAATCACTTGAATCCAGGAGGCAGAGGTTGCAGTGAGCCGAGATCCCACCATTGCACTCCAGCCTGGGTGAGAAGAGCAAAACTCTGTCTCAAAAAAAAAAAAAAAAAGTCATTTGCCCAAGGTCACATAGCCAATCCTGAATGGCAGGACTGGAACCCAGCTGGACTTCCCAGCCATCTGCCCACTGCCTGCTAGGGGAGTGGGGGCTGAAGTCAGACCCCAGGAGGCCCAGGGGTTATTTTCACTGGTCCCAGACCACACCTATCCCCAGAGACCCAGGAACACACCTACGCCCACTGGCCAAGAAGGTGTCGAACTCAGCAGCCATCTTGCAGGACAGAGCTGGGTGACTGTGTTCTGAAGAGCAGTTGGTGACCACAAGGTGAGACCCTGGAGAAGTGAGGAGGAGTCAGGGGACCCTGCCCAGCTCCCACTTCACAGCCCGGAACACAAAATACAGAGCAAGGCCGGGCTGCAGGAAGTCTGGATCGGCCCACCCACTCCCATTTTACACATGGTGACACTGAGGCCCAGGGAGGGCAGACCTGCCCGGGACCACAGAGCTACTGGACAGCAGGTTGGGCTGGGACTCAGGTGTCCAGGCCTTGTCCAGCACAGCATGTCCCCACACCCACGCCCACACAGGTTTCCAGGGAAGATGCCCACTTCCCTCCTGGGCAAAGGGGAATCCCCACATGCCAAAGGTGGGCAGCCCACTTCCTGGGAACCCTCAGGCCAGGACACAGCCCCCCTCCCCCAGCTTTCCTGGGCAACAGCTGAAGTCCCCCACCCCACCCAGGCCAGGCAGAGTTACCCAGTCTCTCCCGGAGGCCTTCGTCTGGGCTGTCGGTGAAGATGAACGTCTAGGAAGGAGGAGAAAGGGTCAGGATTCCTGTTGGCCGAGGGAAGCACCAAACCAATCCACAGCCCACCACCACCGGGCCCCAGGTGGACTTTGTACTCCCTCAGTGACAGACACACCCCTCTCCTGGTCGCACGCTCCTTTAGGACAACATATAACACACACAGTCCAGCTTTTGTAGACATACAACTTCAGGGTGCACGCAGGCCACCATATACACACATACACTTGCCTCCTTTCCAGAGCAGCACCACAGGTACCCAACCATAGCCACACACCTGGGCAGCATCTTGCCCTCTGCTATCACGCGCACGAGTGCGCACGCGCAAACATACATGTACATACACACACATACACTCACCTCTTTTCTAGAGCGGCACCACAGGGACCCAACCATAGCCACACACCTGGGCAGCATCTCACCCTCTTGTATCACGTGCATGGGCGTGTGCACACATACGCACATGTACACACACATACTTACACAGACACATACATACACACACATACACATACACATATATACACACACATACAGTCACAGCCACACTCAGCCCCTCCACAATTACATAACACAACCCTAAACTCATTATCAGGACACAAACTCTATGTGAACAGAGCCACACCCACACCCAGGGGCACCGTGCCGCTAGGGAGACATCACGCCTTCACAGCCACACAAACCTCCTGTGCCAGCCATCTCAGAGATGCTCCCACAACCCAATCCAGCTCCCCCAGATTGGACAGCGCCCCACCAAGAGCTTCCAAATGCTCTGTCCCTAGCGACCCTCAAACCTCACAAGGCAGGTGTCACCTGTTCCCTTCCCAGATGACAAGGAGGCTGAGTGACAGACCAGAGTTGGCAAGTGCCAGGCTGAGATTCAAATCCACAGGCCTCGGACCTCTCCCTGCCGCCTCCCAGGCAGCTAAAGCTGCTCAGCGCCCTACATAAACCAAACCCAGACTCTGAATGAGAGGCAGAGGCAGCCCGTGGACACCACAAAGACCAGCCAGGCTGGGGATTGCTGTCCTTCCCGTTCCAGGCCCGGCCCAGCATGGGGAGAGCTTCTCGGCTGCCCAAGTGGGTCCTCTCACACCCAGTGAGCACCCAAGGGCCTTTGAGGGCGTCCCTGGCCCTGGGACTGCCCTGCCCAGGACTCGGGACAATTCTGGACCCCTTCCAAGTGTCCCACCTAATGTTTAAAGCCTCCAGACTCAGCCCCCACTGGGGCCACACGTGTGGCCTATCCCTGACCTCCCTCCAAGCCGTCTGTCTACCTCCAAGAGTTAGTAGAGTTAATGTGGTTCCTCCGAGTGGGTGCATGAGTAGGTGACCTGCTGTGATGTTAGCTGTTAATCGCACGGCTAGTGCTACTGGCTGAATAAAAAGGCAGATTGTTTGGATGATGATTAGCATAGGAATAAGTGGGATAGGCGTTCCTTGGGGTAAGATGGGCTAGAGATGCTTTTGTTTTAAATCGAAACCCTGTGAGTACAGCGGCTGCTCATAGGGGAATTGCTCTGCCTAAATTTATTGATAGTTGAGTAGTTGGTATAAATGCGTAGGGTGTAAGTCCAAGGAGGTTATCTAAGGTGATAAAGGTAATTAGTGCCAAGAGTATAAGGGATTGAGTTCATCTTTTAATATTATGAACTGTTGTTGCTTGTTTTAGTGGAAGTTAAATTAATGATTGTTGGAGCGAGGAAAGCCGGTTGTTGATTAGGTTATTAGAAGGCATAATCAATGTAGTAGAAAATAAAATAATATTGCTAGGGGAACTCCTAAGATTGTTGGGATATTGAAAGAGGTGAATAGATTTTCATTCATTTTCATTCTCAAGTTGTTTTGTTTTTGTGCTTTAATTAACTTTGATAATGGGGTGGTGTGGAAGGTAAAATTCAGTATTTTTAATTGAATAATATAGAATAGGGCTACAACTATTGATCAGATCACCACTGGTCATGTTGAAATATCTAGTTGGGGCATTCACTGTAGAGAGAGGTTCTCTCAATCTTTAACTTAAAAGGTTAATGCTAAGTAGCTTTACAGTGATACAATGTATAGATATGAGGCTCAGACTTCAAAGTCTTTGAAATATGGGAATTCTAGAACGATGGGTATAAAGCTATGATTTGATCTGCACATTTCTGAGCATTGCCCATAAAGTAGGCCTGGTCGTATAGAGGCTAGTATAGCTTGATTTAAACGTCCGGGGATTGCATCTGTTTTAACGCCTAGTGATGGGACAGCTCATGAGTGTAAGACGTCTTCTGATGAAGTTAGCATACGAATATCTGCTTCTATTGGCAAGGTTGTTCAGTTATCTACTTCAAGAGGTCGAAATTTGCCGGGTTCAAGAAAATAAGTTGGTATAATATAAGAATCAAAAGCCAAGTCTTCATAGTCTGAGTATTCGTAGCTTCAGTATCATTGGTGACCAGTTGCCTTAAAGGTTAAGTAGAGTTTCTTAAACTTGTCTGTTATGTACAGGATACGTAGGGATGGGAGGGCAATTATAATAAGAATGATTGCGGGTAGGATAGTTCAGATTATTTCGATTTCTTGGGCATTTATAGTGCTGGTATGAGTTAGTTTTGTGGTAAGTATTAAAGAGATAATATATAGGACTAGTGAACTAATTAGGAAAATAATTATGAGGGCGTGATCATGAAAAGCAATTAGTTCTATAATGGGGGATGTAGAGTTTTGGAGACCTAGTTGGGCTGGGTGAGCCATTAAGATATGTAGAGTTTGGTCCATAATTTAACTTTGACAAATTTATGTAATTATTTTACTAATATCTCATTGAAAAAGTCATGGGGTCTATGGGATAGACTTGAAACCAATTTTTGGGGGCTCAGATCCTTCCTTTTTCGCTTAAAGATTTTACGTAGGTAGACTCTTTAAATGTGTGTTTAGGAGGGCAGCCATAGAGTCATTCTAGATTGGTAGATAGCTGCTCGATAGTTGAAACTTTTTGTTTTGAGGAGAAGGCTTCTCAAATTATGAAAATTATTAGAATCACTGCTGTTAATGAAATGAATGAGCCTACAGATGAGACGATATTTCGTGTAGTATATGCATCAGGATAATCAGAGTATCATCGGAGTATTCCAGATAAGCCAAGAAAATGTTGTGGAAAGAAAATTAAATTTACGCCTACAAATACAGTGGTAAAGTGAATTTTAGCATAGGTCTGGTCAAGTGTATAACCCGAGAATAAGGGGAATCAGTGAATAAAGCCCCCTGTGATAGCAAATACTGCTCCTATGGATAGGACGTAATGGAAATGAGCTACTACATAGTTATGTCATGTAAGACAACGTCTAATGATGAGTTGGCTAGTACGATTCCTGTTAACACACCTACGGTGAAAAGGAGAATAAAGCCCAGGGCTCAGAATATTGTGGGAGATCATTTAATATTACCGCCATGCAGCATAACTAATCAGCTAAAGACTTTTACTCCAGTGGGGATACCAATAATTACAGTAGCTGATGTAAAATATGCATGTGTATCCACATCTATCCCTACTGTGAATATGTGAGGGGCCCATACGATAAATCCTAGGAAGCCAATAGATATTATAGCTCATGCTATTCCCATGTATCCAAATGGTTGTTTTTTGTTGGAGTAATGTGTTACAATATGTGAAATTATTCCAAAGCCTAGTAGGATGAGGATGCCCAAAAAATCAAAACAGGTGTTGATACAGAATGGGATCCCCACCACCAGCAAGGTCAAAGAAAGTGGTATTAAGGTTGCGATCAGCTATAATATAGTGATTCCAGCAGCTAGAACTGGGAGGGAGAGCAGCAGCAGAACTGCTGTAATACCAAACGAAAAGGGGTGTTTGATACTGAGTTATGGCTGGAGGTTTTATATTGATAATTGTGATAAAATTAATGGCCCCTAAGAGGAAATGCCTGCTAAGTGAAGCGAAAAAATAGTGAGGTCCACAGAGGCTCCTGGATGCGACATATTTCCTGCTAGGGGCAGATAAGCTGTTCAGCCAGTTCCAGCGCCGGCTTCCAGTGTTGAGGATGCAAGTCGAGAAGAAGTGATAGGGGAAGAAGTCAGAAGCTTATATTATTTATTCGGGGAAATGCTATATCGGGAGCACCAATTATTAGAGGAATAAGTCAGTTTCCAAAGCCCCCGATTATGATTGGTATAACTATAAAGAAGATTATAATGAATGCGTGGGAGGTAACATTAACATTATAAACATGGTCATCTTCTATTAGACTTCCTGGTTGACCCAGTTCTGCTCGAATTAGGAAGCTTAGGGCTGTTCCTACTGCTCCTGCTCATGCACCAAACAATAGGTATAGTGTTCCGATATCTTTATGGTTAGTTGAAAATAGCGATTTGTGAGCATAGGTAGAGAAGGATAAAATGGCTCTGTAAGCATTAGACTGTAAATCTAAAGACAGGGGAATATCCTCTTTTTTACCCGTTCCGAGGTGATATATCATATTGAATTGCAAATTCAAAGAAGCAGCTTCAACCCTGCCCGGGCTTCTCCCGCCTTTTTTCCCCCATATGGCGGGAGAAGTAGATTGAAGCCAGTTGATGAAGTTGTTTAGCTGTTAACTAAATTTTTGTGGGTTAAAGTCCCATCAAACTAGAAAGGGCTTAGCTTAATTAAAGTAGCTGATTTGCGTTGTTGATGCAAAATAAAGTTTTGCAGTCCTTACAGTAGCGCAGAAATGAAGTACAATTTACTTACTAAGGGCTTTGAAGGCTCTTGGTCTGGTTAATCTAAATTTCTAGTTTATTAAATTTATGGGGTTGTGGGCAGGGGAAAGGCGGAAGAAATGATAAGGGGGGAGAAATGGTATTGGCTTTATGTATTTGAGTTGTCAATTTTTGTATTATTAGATGTGGGAAATATTGTTATTGAAATGGAGTATGTTAGGTGCATATAAAAACGTAAGTTTATTAGTGTTAGGATGGCCATAGTAAGGGGGATAAGAAGATTATTATTTTTTGTAAGT